CCTCAAAGGCTAAAGGGGACAGTGACCAGTAGCTTTGCCTGCCCCTTCCTTCTGAGCATCTCTGATACCTGACTCAGACACCTGATACAGACTCTCTAGCCCACATCTAGACTCTCATCTTAGGTGAAGGAGGAACACTGCCAACCTAGACTTTTGACCAGGAAGTCTGCCTGGTCCCATTTCCTGAACTAGAGAAACAGAACTATCACTGGGAAAGAGTAAGAATGTGTATTCTAGGCCATTTCATCCAAGAGTTAAAATTCACTAGGAGAATGATGGTTTAAATTGGACTTGGAGAATAGTGAGGAGACTATTAATTTGGGTGTTTGGGGAGAAGGAGTGTCATATGGTAGAGGAACAGGGTAAATCCAAGGGCAGTGTGAAGGTACTGGGCTCCAAGTGGGCCTCAAGGGAGATGAGAGGGCACCAACAAACTGGCTCTGGCCCCCTCCTCAAGGCTGGGTAAGCCTCCCCATCCTTCTTCCTAGCCCTTCTCAGTTGGAGGAACAGGCAGCCAATTGCTGTGAATAAATTACAACTCACTAACTTGGATGGAAGAATGCGGGTCCCAGGCCCTGTGTGTGCATAGGGACACTGCCATCCTTCCATGGCCTCAGCCTTCACTCTTTGGCCTTTGGGGATTGAGCTACAGATGTGCAAGGATAGAGGACCTAGAACAGAGAAAGAAGGAATAGATGTGGCCAGACTGAGAAGTCGAGTCCATCCAGAGTCCCTTTGCTGGGGAGAGACAGAGAGCTGTCACTAAGATGCCCAGGAAGACCTATTTACTTGTTGAACACAGAGCCTCCCCATTCACAGAGCAATTTGTTCCCACATCAATTTTTAAATGCATGGAGAAGCCTTAAATGCAAATGTATTCACCGTCACAGTTTTATTTATTCTTAACCTTTTTTTTCCCAATTAAATGTTGAGGCTTAAACTAATAAACTATTGATATAATAAAGGCTAATTATTTTCACAATGCCTTTAGCATGGGCTGACTTTTTCTTCATTCACAAAAAGATTTGCTTTATTGTGTAGGAGAAAACCCTATCCACAGTTCTGAGTCATCCTGAGTGGAAAGGGTTGCCTGCTCTCACCACCTCATTAGGATACTTGACAGTGATTCACAGATCTTTAAGGATAATCGGCAGATTTTCAATTACTGCTTGGAACAGTGATAAACACTGTACTTTTAAAAATAGTGTAACTGTTACATGGTGCTCTCAGGCAATTAGCCTGTGTTGCTTGCCATAATTTGCCCTGCTTCTATCCCCAAAGGATAAGCATTTGGTCTGCCTGCCCAGAATCATGTTTCTTTCTTCCCTCTAGGTAGGTCACTAGATTCCTTTGTGAACAGTGGGCATCTAACAGTCATTAAAAAAAAAAAAAGACTAAATATGTGTAAAATGTATCTCTTAATATTTCTCTAGAGCATTGAGTCATAGTACATGGAATTATAAAATACTATCAGCAAAGGGCACTTTCCATACCATAATACTCATTTTGTAAAGTTCAGTTTGGCAATTCCAAGTCACATTTAATTTTCTCTGAAAATTCCCACATGGCAGAAAGATATTGCTCTTTGTGGCTTTCAAGTCTCTTTCAGGGAACTGTAAAATGACAACCTTTTAGAATTAGCACTTTTTCTATAGACACTAAATTACTTGCATCAAATAAAGTCATCTGTGCATTTTCATTAAAATAAATACTAAAATAATAAGTAACTTTCCTATACAACCATTCTGGGATTTATGAGGATTAGAATTCTGGGTTATAATTTACTGTGAATCATTTGTAGTTCTTCATCTTCACTGATAGGTGGGGCTAGGAATTTCTGTATTAATTATAATTCTTTAGCATATTAAAATCTGTATCTAGATGAAGTAGATACTTCAAAGCTTCAAATCTAATGAAACTGCACACTTCTCTTTTAAGGGATAAAGCTGTTTGCATTAATATGTGAAATACACCACTAAAACACCCCCTGCTGATTTCATAGGCTTTGCAGGGATTTATGCATAATTTTCTGAAAATTAAAAGACTGAATATCAGATATTTATGATGATAAAAATTAGACCTCAAGAACTATTAAAACCTTGGAAGATTCTCCTAAGAATTTTAAAATTCGGTTCAACAATTATTTAACACAAACCAGAGGTAAAGGAGCCTAGTAGAGTCAGAAGACTGGCGTTTGAGACTCAGCTGTGCACTTGCTAGCACCGTAACAGTGCTCACTGAGTATCTCCGTAAACCTACATCGCAGAATTGAAATGAGAATTACCTGAAGTAACTACTTTGGGGATAATAGATCATCACCTCTCATGCTGATTATTGAAGATGGCACGGTGTAAGACAACAATTCTCACATTTAGATGTGAAGACCAGTTCTCAGGAATCCAATCCTCCATGTCAATGTGTTTTTGCCCTTTAAAATCGTGTTTTGTTTTTATGTTGGTGTTAATCTGTTTAAAAGTTCATGTTAGCACATTCTGTATCATCTGAATATTCTCCTTATACTCTCACACAACATGGGTGTTCATTGTAGCTTTAGTGCCAAGTAATTCAACATTTGTTTCCAAGCTACTGAAAACAGGCACAAGCTGACTTACCATGTAGATTTTTGGTTCCTCCAAGAGAAAGGCAAGTGACAATGGCAAACATTCTGAACAAAGATTTGGTAGTAGTTTGGATCCAGAAAACTGATGAGAAAATCCAATCATGACATGGCACACTATAGCATGTGGTAAGCTGAACTTTAAAAAAAAGAATCCTGCCAGTCTGCATTAAGGGCAGTGATTTAACATCATGCATCATTTGTATTAGTTCTGTAGCTTTAAATATGTATTTAGTGTAATTACTTCTGAGTTAACTAGTCATATGAAAATTATGAACTGAAGTTTAGATTCAGATTCAGAATATTTAAATAACATTATAAAACTTAAAATTAGCATACATTAATTAAATAATTAACTTAAAATAATTTAATTCTTGAGGGGTGTGGCCAAGATCAGAACCCAGGAAAGAAAGAACTCAGGTTAAGTCTTCTCTCTGCTTTGCTGTGAGACCCTGAGCAAGTCAAATGACTTTGTCTCCCTCTATTTCTTCACAATAAAATATGGGTAACAATCTCATCCGCATAGGACTGTTGTGAGGAGTAAATGAAACAATGAATATAACTGTGAATGAATACCTTCCCAGGTATAGAACGCTGTGGAAAACAAGGGCTCTGAATCAAGAGTTTAGACTTTCAACCTGTATTTCTATGACACCTTGGACAAATCACTTTACCTCTATGGTAGTCACTTCCCAATTTTACAAGGTTAGGGATAGATCAGATTATCTCACAGTTTCTTCCATTATAGCTACAAAAGAAGATGGTTGGGGTTTCCACTGGGATTTCAATGGCCTCCTCAGCTCCAAATCATACCCACAGTTACTTGGTTTTCCATTAGCTTTATTTTAAACTTACTTTTCTGAGAAATGTAAAAGTTTATGATTCACTTGTGATTGATGTAGCAATTTGAAAAAAAAAGAAACAAACAAACAAAAAACAGTTAGAAAAGCTCTCAGATTTCAACATCTTTCTTTGCTTTGTTGTTTCCTCTGCTATAATGGAAAGACAGAACGCAGATTTGAGTCTTCTTTCTACACTTGGATGTTAACTATCCTAGGCAAATCATATGACCTCTCCACATTGCACTGCTTTAAAAAAGCAGGCTCTGGACATAGACTTGTGGATTCAAATCCTGACTCTACCAGTTATTAGCTGTGCAGCCCAGGGTAAATTGCTAAACTTCTCTAAGCTTTATCTTTTGTAACAATTAATGAGATGATGGTTGTAAAGCACTCAGCTGTGAAGCCTGTTATTTTGAGAAAAGCTCAGTGATTGTTAGCTATTATTAGTATCATGTTTATTTTCCTTCCCTTCATCCTTAGCTTTCCAGTTGTTACAAGGAGAGGCTTGTAGGATGAAGGAGCAATAAGAAAATTTTGGATCGCTAAGCAAAGGGTAACAACCAATACTCAATGCAAAATCAGATTAGTAGAACGAGCAGCCACCACACGTCAGGAAAGTTAATTTGGATCTGAGTTCAGTTTTTCAGCTTTGTGAATTTCATTAAGTCATATCACCTCTCCAAAGTCGTTGTTTCTTCCGCTCTAAACGGAGACTAGTAATATTTATCCTATACATTTCACAAAACTGTCAAAGGTTCAAAAACAAATGTTTGATATATACACGAAAACACTTCCTAAAATCTAAAAGTACTAAATAAAGCGGGTTTTCTCATCGATTACATTTGGAAGGGGCAGAAGTATTGGTTGGATTCTACTTTTGGCTCCCTCACTAACAAGCTGTGTTGACAATGTTTAACCCCTCAGGGCTACATTCATCTGCTAGGTAATTATAACGGTAACAGCCACCTTTGATAGCCGGCTTACCACCTGACACGTATTGCACTATGTGCTTAATTTGCACACCAGGCGACCTCTCACTCAGTGTCATAACCTTAAAGCAGACATTATGTCCATTGAACAGATTTTAAAAAACAACAACTTAAGACTAAGAGAAGTTAGAAGCCTGCCATCCCGCACTGGCAGGGCTGACGTTCTAAAAGCATCTAACCGTAAGAGAACCATTAGCAATTAGTAGTTTCGCCTCGTATCACCGCCTCGCCCGCGACCATTCACGGACATGTAGGAACGCCCATCAGCCTGCGGGTTACTGGGCTCCCCCAATCCTTGGATCCGCCTCTCCCTGTTCTTGCCCAGGCCCCGCCCTCCGGGCCGCTCGGGCACCGCCCACTCACGAGAGGCCAGGACCAAGGACTTCCACTACCCTCACGTGCGGAAAGCAGCGCGTCCCCAGCCTGCACCGCGCTTAGCGGGGCGCGGCGCATGCGCTTTGCGTGCGCCCGGATTTCCTGTTTGCTCCATCGCTTCCGGCGGCGTACACCTGACCAATGAGCTAGGCTCGGAGGCGGGCCGTAGAGCCCCAGGCTCCTCCCCCGCCCGTAGTTTAAGAACGGCGGGGAAGGCCCGGTGTGCGACCTGTACTGTCCGGCTGGGGGTCATGGCTGCTACGAGGACGCTCAACACGTTCCGTCTCCCGCCGTTGCCCACGATTCGAGAAATCATTAAGTTGTTTAAACTGAAAGCAGTGAAACAGCTATCCCAGAATTTTCTCCTGGACTTGAGGCTGACAGGTGGCTGGCTTATTGGTCCTCCCTGGAGGTCTCCTCCGCGTCCCTGGGGGCGTGGGGCCGAGGGTACCTCGCGCGGACCCTACGGGCGGGTGACGGGGTTGGAGCAGATGGGCGGGTGGTTGGAGCAGAAGGTCCGGCCTTTCTGCCGCTTTGTACTGAAAGAACGCCGAGTCCCGTCGGCCAGGAAACGTGGGACTGCGTTCCTTGCTCACGGGCGTTTGCCGTGGGCTTTTGAAGGCCGATTTTGCAGACGCCCAGCAAACACTCGGGGAGGAAGGGTTCGCGTTTCTTGAGGGGCGGTTATGGACTTTGGAATCTCGGTATGTTAACAACATAAAATGGTACTGCACGTGCTGACTAGATTGGCTTTTTATACAGTCCAATTAGTGCAGGGATTTTATGTAACACGTTGAAAGAGTATCAGTTTCATAGGATTCGTTATTTAAACGTTTAACTTGTTTAGTCTTAAGAAATCCTCGCGGGCGCAGATATTCGTTCGGTAAATACATATTGAATGAGCCATTATGTGCTAGAGCTGAAGATCGGGTATGGGCGTGAACAAGGCAGTCTGTCCCCAAGGAGCTTACATTTTAGTCAACATTCCCGCTCCTTGTTCTAAGTCACTTTTTATGAAGTAAAACTTGGCTGCAATAAAATTCACCAGTTTGAAGTGCACAGTAAAAGTTTTGACAAATGTTTGTACTATACCACCACTGTTTCTTAGTGATGGTTTCTTCTAAAAGATGATATTGCAAGAATAAGATGTATTACAAATATGTCCACTGATACAAGGTTGGAGTACTTAACCTTTTTTCTTTTTTTGGTGGGGGTATTAAGGTATGTATGTATGTGTGTATGTATGTATGTATGTATTTAAATGGAGGTACTGGAGATTGAACCAGGGACCTCATGTATGCTAAGTACCCGCTCTGCCGCTAAGCAATACCCTTCCCCCTTTTGACGTTTTGATATTTCATTCTGTTTGGCCCTTCTTTAGAAAATGAAAGGATCAGTAAATCACACCCCCAGATTTCATTTTTCTATGAGATGAAGTAAGTCTACAGAGCATGGTCAGGACGATTTATTTCTTGGACATAGAGTAGCAGTGTGGCCCTGACAGTGACACTATAACTGGGTAAACTTAGTTTCAGTTTTCTCATCCTTTAATTGGAGGAGGGCTCTACTACAAGAACTTTACAAAGTTACCCACCTCTAAAATTGTTCGGTCCTAGTAGTAACCAGAACCAGCCTTTTCTGCTAGTCATTAGACACATTGTGTATAAAAAGCACCGTTCTCGGGACTAGAAGTCCTGAGGCATATATATATATATATATATATATATATATATATATATATATATATATATATATATATTTAAGACTTTTATATTTTAAAAAATTCTTCATATACATGTTCTTGTGTGAGTATTCGCTCTCAGGAATAAATTCCGGAACCTGGGTACTATTATTCCCTCTTACACGGGAACCAAAGTGAAGGGAAATTAAGGTACTTGTGTGTGTGAGCAATGCAAGATGGAACCCCAAGCTTAGTGACTTGACAGTGCCTCTTTGATACTCATTTGTATTTGAATGTGCCTGGAAAGTTTAAGGCTGACCGACAGCCCTACCTACTGTTATAGCTTTCCATTGAAAAAAATGGGAATATAAAATCACTCCATAATACCTGTGCTTAATGTAGCATCTCTGCTCCCTCTGAGAGGCATTGGCTTTAATGGAGGGAGGGTTGGTTTTAGAATTTACATCTGAGCTGGAGTCCCTTTTCCATTTGTTCTCTTGGTGAGCTCACTCAAGTAAAATAATGGACACGGAAACTGGAAAGTTCAGAGAACTGGGAAATTGGGGTAGTAGTTCTTAGTTAATGTGGTGTAAGGATTTGCTGTGAGAAGGCATGTAAATCACCTGTAACAAATAGATGGTCAGTGGATGCTAGTTTTCTCCTGGCACCCGGTGAAAGACAAAACTATGTTGGGATGATTGAGAGACTTTCTACCTCTAAACCTACAAAAGTAGGCCATCAAAAACAGGATGCAGAAATGAGACTGTACGGTGTCAGTGAATAGTGCAAGGAAGTGCTGGTTTGTTTTCAGTGGCTGAATTTCCACTAGCACAGGAGGCCCAATTGCTTGGATTTTAATACCTCAGTCAATAATATGACCAGCCTATTGTATGTTTATCCAGAAGTGATAATCGGTGATCTGCTTTTCAAGGAGGTCTTAAGGTCTGCTGACTTAAAAGAACTTGATTAATTAAAAAATTAATTTTCCCATATCAACTTGAATGTTTGCAAAGCTTAAAAAAAAAACTTGACTGCTAAATTTGATTTTTTCCTGAAAATGACCAAGAATACAAATTTCTGCAAGTCCAGTGAGCTAGGAACATGCTACCATTGCCATATTGACCACAGCTAGACATCTGTAGGTAAAAATGGAAACTGCCAGGACTTTCTGCTTCTGGATTTTTAAGCTAGCAACCTTGGAAATTCTGAATATGAAACTAGTCTTGTTTATTCTACTATTTGATGTTCAACAACTATAGAGAAGTCGTTCAGGCTTATCCAGACAATCCATAGGACTCAATTGGTTTGACAGAGAAACAGATAGAAAATAACCTATTAGCTAACTTTAGGTTCAGGAAATTTGTCGTGGTAATTCTCCTTTTATTAAGGGACTGATGCAATTCAGCAGTTATGTGGTAGAATATTGAATGGCCACTATCTGTTGGTTTAGGTTGATAGTTAAATTATCAGATAAAATTTTATGTAAAGATTAGTTGAGTAATGAATGGCTGATAAGAATTTGAATAGATTATTTTTCTTTTTAAAGTCCATGTGTTGAAGTTTGCGAAGGTAATCGACTAGAACTTTCTTTTCCCAGATAAAATTGTGAGGAAGGCTGGCAACCTGACAGATGCTTATGTTTACGAAGTGGGCCCCGGGCCAGGGGGGATCACGAGATCCATTCTGAATGCCAGTGTCACTGAACTCCTGGTGGTTGAAAAGGATAGTCGATTTATCCCTGGATTACAGGTGAGAAACTTAAACGTGTCTTTTTTAGAGGGCACAAACCCAATTTACATCTTTAGACTAGACCATGGTTCTTAGACCCCAGGGTATCCCAGGATTATATAGTTTGCTCCTCAAGTTGCAGATCTCCAGGCCTCATTCCAGAGATTCTGATTCCTTCGTCTGGAAGGCCTAGGAATCTGCATTTCTAGCCAGCATTGGCACATGTGGACTGTTGACCACAGCTTGAATAAACCTGCTTTATACATTGATGCTAAACAAACTGTTTCTTATCTACCAATAGCTGTGCATGTCGCCCATTCCTTCAAAATTAAGTAAAAATAAGTAATGGCAATAATGACTCAGTTATTGGCATGACTTCTGAGAGCATCTTTAAAATTTGGAAAATCGTTTCTATAAGCAAAAGATGGAGAAGACGTGCTTCGTTGAGAGGGACTTGGGCATTCAGCTTAGGCCTTCTTATAATAGGATTTTATAAGTGAAGAAATCAAGTTACACCACTGTACCTATAGATTTAAGATGAGGTTTGAATGAAATGATACGTGCATCTTTTAAACAGTAGGCAATGTCATGCGAGAAATATGTGTAGGACCTAGGTGTGTTTCAGCAGGAGAGAAGCCTTGAGTGCAGGGATTCATAGCTGCCTGTCGAAGGCTGCCGTGGAGAGGATAAGCTTGTTTTGATCTTCTCTAGAGAAGAACTAGAGCAAATAGGTAAGGATTAAGGGGGGGCAGATGTGGATTTAAAATGAGGGGCTTAATTTTTAAAACAGTGGCAAACAGTGGAACAGATTATATCAGGGATCTTGTAAAGGGAATTCTTCACTGGGGCACTTCATGGCTTAAGGGTTTTTGTTTGAGTTCTCTGTAATTCTGAAACTGTAAAAGAGCCCTTAGCCTTTTGTTCATATGAGTAGCAATTTATTAGGGGAGTCCGAGGGAATAATAAAATTGTCTGCATTGTTACTTTTATATAAGAGGACAAATTGGTTTAAAATTAGTACATTCTAATACTTTCATATGGATTAATGGAGAAGTGCTTAATTTCTGCCAGACCAGCTTGAGAAAATTTGTTTGAAAATCTAGGGCTTTGTGTTCATGCCTCTGATTTTTTTTTTTCTTTTTAAGAAACTGTGATTTTGTTCTCATTATTTTGCTATCTCCAGTTTTTATGCTTTAAAAAATCATAAAATACTTGATTTCATCTTATTTTGCCAGCCTTTATCAACAGAATTTGTTTCAGATTAATAGCTTTATTTGGGGATTATTATATGGTACATATTTTTGATATTTTAATAGTGATTTTTGCTTTGAACCACTTCTTTAGTGAACAGTGTGTCCGTTGGAAGTGGAAGTGGTAATATTGTTATTTTCGGTGAGATCATGAGGTGATGAAAAGAAACTGAATAACACTACATAATTCCCTGCAGGTTTATTCATCCAGCCCTTTTATGGGCAAAGGGAATACTCATCTGACTTTTCTGCCTTGAAAGAGACATCTTAACCTTAAGTCTCATCCTCTGTGATGTGTAGTTCTTTGTCATTAGGCAAAGAGGTGAATCAGATTCCTCACTGCCATCTTAATTTACAAATTCTCTTTGATCGCAACTAAAGCTATTTGAAGACGGACTGTAAAAGACAGCGGCACACGTCTCAGCTGTCCTTCCCCCAGTCCCTGCCCTCCTAACCCCTGCCTTGTTTTATTTGTCTTGTAAGGTTTCTCATCATCTGACACACTGTATGTTCTTGCTTGTTTGTCATCAGTCTGCCCCATCTGGAGTGTAAGTGCCATGAGGGTAGAGATTTTATCTGTATTGTTCCCTGCTTTATCTCTACAGCATAGGAAAGTGCCTGGCACATAGCAGCTGTTCAGTAATATCTCACATGGGGAATAAAAAGATGGACTGTCTTTGTATGTATTTATCTAATTATCTGATTAAATTATTTAATATCATTTAATGGTGAAAGTGAATAATTGTGTAGCATTGATTATCGAAGTTTTGTGCACTTTTTTCTAAATATGAAGGTTAATTTCAAGGTAAATTACTGTGCAGGAAATGTATATTTGACTTAGCTGTGTTTGTAGAAGAAGCAAAATTAATTTTTAGTGTCTTATATGCAGGAAAGAAATTTGCCTTAAAAAGAAATGTTGGGTACTAAAATATCAAATAGACTTCTTTTTCCTGTAAAGAATGTTTCAATATGTAAAACCACGTTCTTTCAGAGGTACTAAATTAATCATAAAACTGAGTAAAGGCAGGAGAGTGATCTATTTTAAGGATTCCATTTTAGTGATATCTAAGCTAATAGAATTACTTTTTAAAGAAATTGTAATAATTTATGAAATGTCTTCTATCTGAAAGTATGTCATTTGTAGCTTAATTCAACTCTTAAAATATTATCACGAGGCAGCTTAGGGGAAAGAACATAGTGATAATGTATAGGCTTCCCTGTCAACATATTGTAACATAAGAAAACGTGCCTCATATGTGAAAGTATTAATGTGTGATTTTGTAGTGAACAGACTCTAGCATCACACTGCCTATGTTTGACTTCAGGCTCCAACATTTGCTACTTACGTGACCTTGGGCAAGTAACCATCTCTCTCTGTGCCTCAGTTTGCTCATAGGATTGTTATGGATTGAATGAGCACCTTATACTTAGTGGGCACCCAGTAACAGTTTTTTCAAAATAAGTCATCAATTAAATTATCTTCATGCCTTGGGCACCTCCGGTAATTAAGGACTGATCAGGAGACTGCTCCTCTGGGAAGAAGTGTAGGAGAAAAGTAATGTTACTCCTTTGGAGCACTAGAAAATCCCCAGTGCAGTGGAAATCAGAGCTTGCTCCGACTCATCAAACAGCATTGGACATCTGGGATTTCTTTATGTTGTAGCATTTTCTTGTGATTGTGTTTCCAGGATTTTTGTTATCTTTTGGTCATTCGTTGTTGTGACATCTTTATGGCTGGGTAGACTGTGCCTTGGAGGGGAGTGAGATTCTCTGACGCTTTGGGGAGCTTGAGGCCTTAATGAGTTCTTCCCCGCATATCTGAATTGAAGGTAACATCATAAGTAATTTGTTTTCCTTCAGATCAGTAATCTGGACGCTTCTTTTTTTTTCTGTTTGTTTTAAAGATTTTATATATTAATAATAATCATAATAACTGATATTTATTGAGAGTTTACCACACTAAGTACTTTGTACAGCTTTATTGAGGTAGTTGTTTCAGTAAACTGCACATATTAAAAGTGTACAAGTCACTTTTTTGAAAACTGTAATCATATGAAACATCACTACAATCAAGATAAAGACCATCTATAACCTTCAAGATTCCTTATGTTCCTGTGTAATCCATCCCTCCTCCTTCCCTCTCCTCTGACAACCACTGATCTGCTTTCTGTCACTATAGATGATTTTCCATTTTTTAGAATTTTGTAGAAGTGGAATCATACAGTAGGTGCTTTTTTTATCTGATGTCTTTTACTGAGCATTAATCACATTGAGATTCATCCATGTTGGGGTGCTTTTTCAGTAGTTTGCTCTTTTTTACTGCTTGCCTAGTGTTCTGTTCTGGGAGTATACCAGGTTTGTGCATTCACTCACAAAGTTGGTGGACGTTGGACTGTTTCCACCTTTTGGCTATCACACAGCTGTGACGGACGTTTACATGCAGGTCTGTGTGGATATATACTTTTTTATGTCTCGTGAGTAAAGTACTAGGCTTAGAATGTCTAGGTCCTGTGGTAGGTGTGGGTTAAACTTTTTGTGAAACTACCAGAGTTTTACGAGGTGGCTCTACTTTTTAACATTCCCACCAGTTGTGCAAGAGTTCCAGTTACTCCACATGCCTGCTCACATTTAGTATAGTCAGCCTTCTTAATTTTAGTCATCTGAATGTATACGTAGTGGTATTCACTGTGGTTTTTATTTGCATTTCCCTAGTAAATAATGTTTCTACACATATTTTCATGTGCTTATTTGCCATCTGTATCTCTTGGGGGGGAATTGTTTTTGCAGACTTTGAGCAGTTTTTAATTTTTGTTTGTCTTTTCATTACTGTAAGAGATCTTTATATAGTTTAGGTACAAGCACTTTGTCACATACATGTTTTGCAGTGCTTTCCCCTCAGCTGTGCCTTTCCTTTTCATTTTTGTAGAATTTAACAGTGTCTTATGGCGAGGAAAACTTAGTTTTTATAATATACAATTTATCCATTTTTTAAAACTTGATGCTTTTTGCATCTAAATTTTAAAATAATTGCCAAAACCAAAACTTAGAATTTCTCCTGCATTTTTTTCTAGATGTTTTATCTGGATGTGGAATCTTAAAACACACACACACACACAAAACAAAAACATAAGTGAACTCCTGGATGCAGAGAACAGATTGGTGATTGCCAGGGGCCAAGGGTTGGGAGTGGGTGGTGAAATGGGTGAAGTTAGTCAAAAGATACAAACTTCCAGTTATAAAATAAGTCCTGGAGATGTAATGTACAGCATGCTTACTATAGTTAATAATACTGTATTGTATATTTGAAAGTTGCTAAGAGAGTGAATCTTAAGAAGTTCTCATTACAGGAAAAAATTTGTAGCTGTCATGATAGAGGTTAACTAGACTTATTGTGATGATTTTGCAGTGTGTACATAAATCTAATCATTATGTTCTGCACCTGAAGCTAACATGTTATATGTTAATTATATCGTAATTTTTGTAAGTTGAATATTGACTTGAAAGCTTATTTTCTAAATAATGTACAAATTCTTAGAATCATAAGTGACATAAGATCCTGTGGTTTTCAGATTACAGTTGATCATTGAACAACATGGATTTGCACTGCATGGGTCTACTTATACACAGATTTTTTCAGTAAATACATACTGTGCTGCATGATCTGAGGTTCATTGAATTGGAGGGTGTTGCTGTTGAACTGATACAGAAGGCTGATTATAGGACTTGGGTATTTGCAAATTTGGGTATCTTTGGCAGGTCCTGGAACCAATC